CCCTCCCTCCCCTCCCTCCCTCCCATCCCTCCCCCCTCCCTCACAGCCTCCCTCCCTCCCTCCCGGTCGCCTCCTCCTCCTCCTCCTCCTCCTCCCTCCCTCCCTCCCTCCCTCCCTCCCCCCAACCCTCCCTCGCCTCCTGCCTTTCTCCCTTCCCTCCCTCTCCTCCCTCCTCCACCCTCCCTCCCTCCCTCCCTCCCTCCCCCTCCCCCTCCACCTCCCCCCTCCTCCCCTCCTCCTCCTCCTCCTTCCCCCTCCCTCCTCCCCTCACTCCTCCTCCTCCTCCTCCACCTCCTCCTCCTCCTCCTCTCCCTCCTCCTCCTCCTCCTCCTCCTCCTCCTCCCTCCTCCTCCTCCTCCTCCTCCTCCAGCTCCTCCTCCTCCTCCTCCTCCTCCTCCTCCTACCTCCTCCTACTACTCCTCCTTCCTCCCTCCTTCCTCCTCCCCTCCTCTCCTCCCTCCCCTCCTCCTCCATCCACCTCCTCCTCCTCCTTCCTCCTCCTCCTCCCCTCCTCTCCTCCTCCTCCTCCTCCTCCTCCTCCTCCTCCTCCTCCTCCTCCTCCTCCTCCTCCCTCCTCCCTTCCTCCTCCTCCTCCTCCTCCTCCTCCTCCTCCTCCCCCTGAGCCCTCAGGGAGCTGACCGAGAAGGGAGCAAAAGCGGAGGACGGGCGTCCACCAGTCCTCCTCCTCCTCCTCCTCCTCCTCCCCCTGAGCCCTCAGGGAGCTGACCGAGAAGGGAGCAAAAGCGGAGGACGGGCGTCCACCAGGAACCTCCTTGCCACCGGCCCCCTCGGTCGGGAGGCCCTTCCACAGGCCGGCATCTGGTCAAGCGTCGTCGTCCCCGAGCCGTGGCGTCGTGAGGCGACCCCCAGGCCAGAGCGACGCCTGGCGCGTGAGCTTCGGCGAGCGCGGCGGCGGGAAGCCCAGGCAGTGAAGCCGCTGCTGTGGCGTCGCGTCCGGCCATCCGGAGGCCCCAGTGCGCCCGCACCTCCTCCTCCTCCTCCTCCTCCTCCTCCTCCTCCTCCTCCTCCTCCTCCTCCTCCTCCTCCTCCTCCTCCTCTTGCCTCTTGCCTAACTGCGCGCCAAGCTCCTCTGACAGGTGGCGCTGACGAGCTGGACTAGAGCTCTGGGAAGACTACTGCACGTGGTGGGCCAACGTCTTCTGGCTGGGGCCACTGCTTGAAAATGTTTGGGAAGTTCCCCTCGCTCGAGGGTCTCAATAATTCTCTTGCCATGGGTAGACAAGGCACACCTTTGCGAGCACGTCTGGCTCAGCTTCTGGAAAGACACTGACCCCGCCCCACCACAGGACCTGCACCAAAAGAAACCCCTGAAGGTCATGAGCTGGTGGGACCTATGGATCTGGGCGGGGAAACCTCTACGCTGTTGGTCCAGCCAAACAGGTCGGGGACAGACAGAGGACGGAGAAGAGAGGCAGCGGGTGCAACGGAGCCTGCCTCGCACATCTCGCTGAACTGCATGGGCGGACGACTGCACGGCGGCCTGGGACGACTCCCGCCGCGCCTGCGCCCTACGCTTGGCCTCGTGCTGTCTGTCCATCTTGGCGCTGGCTCCGAAGACCTCGGGAGCCTGGCGCGCTACATGATCCGCGACTGCCAGCAGGTGGGCCTGGACGCCCGCCGCCAGATCATAAATTCTAGAATCTTCTGTCAGATCCTCCTGTGGCAGTTGGGCTGCTCTCGCTCCCTCCTCAGCACATAAGTCGGCAATCCTATTTGCCAGCCAACTCGCTGGGGGAACCTGGGCGCTTGCGGCCTGCTCAGGGGACTGGTGAGAAGAATTCTTCCAACCGAAACTTCACGACCCCGGGCCAAATTCCAAAAAGTGTTCCAGAGCCTCTGGTTTGTTGAATGCTGTCCGCTGGGGCCCTTGCGGATCCATCCACAACGTTCTGGGCATCAATGACAAAATGCACTGGGCCCCTAGTTCTCTCAAGGGCCTCCACTGCTGCCAACAACTCTGCAATTGGCACTGACTGCTTCCAATAGTCTACTGGACCGTAGGCCCAAGCAACCACTTCCCACCCTCTGAGGATGGAAAAACCCCACCCGCACCGACGAACCCGAAAATCAGCATGATACTTGCCTCCTGAGCCGTCGGTTGCGACGATGGTAGCGTGGTCCAAGGAAACTACCGCCTGCTGGGCTAGTTCCCCCCCCCCCCCACCTGCGGCTGTCCCTGGACCGGGCGGGTCGCGAAAGGGTGCACCCACAGGACTGGTACTAACCCTCGGAGCCAAAAACAAGGGTGGTCTAGGACCCCCTCTTTTGCTTGGCTAGCAAGCTCTCCATGCAGCCCCTCCAGGGCCGCATTCCCCAGGCACTCCCAGAATTGGTGAAAAAGCGTTTCCTGTTCGGCTCCGCATCTTGGGCAGGCTGGGCTGGTCCAAGTGGGGCGGCGGGGTTGTCTGACTGCCTCTGAACCTTCCTCCAAGGGCTCAAATAGCACCTCTGGGGGCTCAGGCCACGCCTGCTCCTCCTCCCACTGCGCCTGCTCCAACATCTGCTCAAAGGAAAAAATCGTCCTCATCTCCCTCCTGCCCCTCCTCCCTGGCCTGCTGGACTGCAGTGGCTGGCGGGCCAGGGGTGCCCAACTCCTGCGCCTCTTCTGGCTCAGGTGGCTGGGCTCTGGGGCCTGGGGGCGAAATGAAGGGTGTCTGAGGGTGGCGTTTCGCCTCCTCCCCAAACCTGCGACTGGCTGGCCACAGAGCTCCAGCCATGACCATCCGAAACACTCCTAACTGGTCGTCCTTGCCTTCTTTGCGGAGCTGTCTCATGCGGCATTTGTTAGTAAACAAATCAGGGCCATGCTCCAGGCCCTTGCCATGGTAATGCTTGGCAGCAGTCAACCACGCCTGTTGATCCAAAGCCCCATAGAGCTCAACATCAACGATTCGCTCAGGATCATCAAGCTCTAGGTTGAGATGGCCCCCGCCCTGGTTTATCCATTCCCGCGGCGAGACCGCCGAGAAACCAAAGTCCTGCAGGGCTGCTACCGTGGCTGAGAGGGTGCCTTTGACTCGATGCCAACGCGATTGGGACGATTCCAAGCCCGTCCACGCTTTGCGCCAGGCGATCTGTACCGCTGAGCGCCGGTCTCTAAGCAGCTCTGGCAGCATGGCTATCCAGTCTCGAAAAATCTTCAGTCTAGCGAAAACCAACGGGTCCTGGTGTGCCGAGGGGAAGGACGTTCGAATCGTGGTCGTCGCACATCCTCCTTCCTTTCGGCCAACCATTCCACTGACTTGAGCTCTCATTTTTAAGAGCCGTGACGGGGCAACGCATTGGCTCTCAAGGCCCCACGAGGCCTGGGGGAGGTACCCCGTCTTGACTAGCGCCACTCCTAATCTGGATGTTTTAGCGATGCGCTTAATCATTTGTCCTCGGTCGTGGCTGGCCTGCATCCTCTTTTTGCCCGTGCCAATGCTTCTCCGATGCGAGGTGCCATCGATCCCGAGGTCCTTGACGACTTGATTATGTTTCAAATCTATCCTGGCTTCCTGAAGCCTGGTCCTGATGGCCGCCGCGACCCTGGGAGGATTCGAGGCCACCTTGCTTTTCACCGAGATGGTGAGCCCCAGGGAGGCGCAGCGCTGAACAAAAACCTCACTGCGGCTGTCGTGGCTCCCACTACAACACTCTCTTTTCCTATGGCAGATTGAGTGATGTCATCGATCGAACTGTGGACTTCTACTGGCCTAAAAGATGCTTGCATCTCACTGAGCATCTGCCACAAGGCCAGACGCGAGATGTCGACACTCTGGGAACAACCTGCCAGGATGCCTCTGAAAGCCTGCAGGGGATCCGAGACCACCCCATTCCCCCGGCACCTTCGGGGCCCAAAATGGACGCTGACGCCGAGAAAAAGGTGGGTGAGTGGGTACCCGGCTGCTGCGCCTACCTGCCAGAGTTGTTCGGGATCTAGGGTGTCGTAGAATTTCCCCAAATCCCACGACGCCTCGCACCAGGCAAAACCCTGCAAAGAAGCGACCTCCAGCCGAGTCTGCCTGAGGGGAGCCGCCCTTAGACAGCTGGATCCCGCTACTGCCTTATCCCAGAACTGCACATGCTTTTCCGACCAGTCTGCTACATGCCATCTGCGAATGCGCGACCATATTCTGCACGGCGTTTGGGTTAAAGTTATTGGCCTGTCTGCCTCCGCAGTCTTATACATCAACTGCACTATGTTGACTAAAATTTGTTCTGGCCAGCACAGGTTTCTTTCCGCGAGCCTGAGGGGGGAGGTGAGGTGGGGGGGGGCCTTCCTGCGGGGGCTGTCGCCACCAGCGGGGGCTGGTGCGATCCGCTCCCATTCCTATGACTGGCCGAAAACACTGGGGTCCCTCGATTACCTCATCGCATGTTATGGGGCCCAGAGCAAGGCTATGCTTCTTGGCGGCTCGGCGGAAGTCCTTCCACCAAGCCTGCTCCTTTGGCGGCCCTTTCCCTTACCCCCAAGCATTAATCCAATACTCTCCTTTAGCTTGAATATTCTGGAGCGGATCCGAAATTATGTGCCCACACTGGTCCTGGATCCTGAACAATTCCCGCTCTAGGGTTCCCCAAAGCTTGGTGCGGCGGTGGACCGCTCCCGCTCCTTTCTTTAAACTGGCCTGCACCCATTTCTTGAAACATCGTGAGCTCTCAAGGAGGAAATGGGACTCAAGGCGACGCACAGCTTCGTCGACCCTCTGGGACCAGACCTTCAGCTGCGCCTCCCCGAGGCCCCCAAGGATGCCCAAGTCCCCATGGAGCTTTCTGATTCGGTGCTTGTCTGACTCATCTTTTTAAATCTGCTCGCCGCGTGAGCAAATCTCCTACTGTGATAGCGATCGCCTCCACCGCCCCCGCCACTAAACTAAACCCCCCCTCCTCCTCCTCAGGCCTAGCAGGGCTTGCAAACGCGGCTGCAGGCCAGACCAGTGAGAAAGCGAGCTAGTTTGCGCCAGCCACCCTGTGGGCTTCGTGGCTAGCAGGGGCACCAGGCGCGACTCTGGGCAGAACCCCCTGCAGGTGTCAGCCGCAGGCCGCCTGTCGGGCTGCCTGCTGAGCAGCAAATCCTCCGCCGCCAGCGCGAACTCCATGTACACGAAATCGACTGGGTCCATCGCCTTGTCCCGCAGCTGCGGGTGCTCCATGCCATTGGCTGCCCTGTCCTGCACGCTCTGCAGGTGGTAGCTCTAAGGGCGGTCTGGTCCGTTGGCGTCCAACACTGGCGTCGGTTGCACCAGGATCCTCTGCATGACTAAATCTGGCGCACAGAGCAGTTCCCCCACTATGCCGTAGCGCGGCGCTGCCCATGGCCCCACCGTGTCCCATGACAGCTTAATCAGCCCACTGATCTTCTCGGACACCGGGCAGTAATCTATCACTCTGTGGCCTCCTGGTTGTGGATCATCTGGCCGTCGCCATACTCCGCTGAGAAAAGTGGGCAGGTTTAAACCTGCCATCTCTCCCTCTGTCATACTCTAATCCGCCATGGTGATGAAAGGCAAGCCTTTGGCCCGCACGTACGAGGCCATGCCATTGATTGTGTCTATGTTCGGCCCAGCCAGGCCCACGCCAACTGCCAGATACATTGCAGCGAAAATGACTTCCATGCCCTCTGTGCGAACCGCCACCGCCGTCCATTGTGTTCTCTCCTGGCCGAAATCGATAACTCCCTTCCAAGCCAGCTGCTTCTGGACCTGGAGCCATACCCCGCCATGTCCACGCACTCCTTGACCTGCCGCGGCTGCGGCGGGGATGGCCTTGGTGGCCCAGCCCAGCTTGGACAACTTCTTCTTTGCTTCATTTAATTTCTTGCCCGTCAGGTGATGTTCCGCCACCCCGATGACATGTGCCCTCTGGGGCGGGCTCCCCTCTCGCTTGATGTAGCTGAGGCCCTTCTCATTCCAGCTGGTGACGTTGCTGAAATAGAAAAGAAGCGGGGTGCGGTCCGATGCGGTTGACCTGGTCGCTGTAGTTCCTGAGCACTCTTCTCCGCCAGCTGGCGGAGTGAGTCTGGCCGATGTCCCACCCGTGGCGGAACACGTCCCTGGGCTCTCTTCTCCCTGGGGAGCGAGTGTGGCCTTGGTCCTTGAAGCAGGGCCGCCTGGAGGCCTCAGGACCTGAGCTGCCCTGCACGGGCTGCCCTGGCCCCTCAGCGTCCTGGGGGCCCTATAGTACGATGCCGTAGCGCTAGAGTCGCCGTGGCCGTTTCGCCTTCTCCTGGAACAGCGCGACGATCGCTGCAGCTCGTTGATCCGCCGACCCCTTGTGGGTCTCTAGGCGTGTGAGATAGTTCCCCCCCCTATAGTCCCCCCCCCGGGACCCCAAACCGGCGATTTGACCCCCCCCCCCCGGGCCGCAGACGAGCGCACCACGGGGCCCGGGACGAGCGCCGCCGGGGCTTTTCCGGGCCCCAGGAAGCCTCAAGACGGGCCAAGATGGCCCCAAGAGGCCTTCAAGACGGCCCACGGGAGCCCCGAGACGCCAAACGAGCGCTCCAAGACGCCCAAGATGGCTCAAAGACGGGCTAAGAGGCCTCCAAGACGGCCCAAGAGGTCCCCAAGAGGCCCCAAGAGGCCTCCAAGATGCGTCCCACGAGGGTCCCTAGACGCAAAAATTGGCCCATTCCCTTCGTAAAACGTACATTTTTCACGAATTCGCTTTTTGGGCTTTCCGACGCTCCCAGACGGCCCAAGAGGCCCTAAATACCGCCCCAAGACGGTCCAAGAAGCCTCCAGGGAAGCTCCAAGGCAGCCCAAGAGAGCCCCAAGACAGCCCAAGAGGCGCCCAAGATTGCCCAAGAGGGCCCCGAAGACGGCCCCAAGAGCGCTCCAGGAGCGCTTCAAGTGGCCTCCAAGAGAGCTCAATATGGTCACAGACGGTCGAAGAGCGATCAAAGACACCGACGATCGCCTCCAGACGGCCCAAGACCCCAAGAGGCCCCAAGAGGCCTCCAAGATGCGTCCCAGGAGGGCCCCTCGGCGCAAAAATTGGCCCGTTCCCTTCGTGAAACGTACATTTTTCACAAATTTGCCTTTTGGGCTTTCCGACGCTCCCAGACGGCCCTGGAGGCCTCCAATACAGCCCCAAGGTAGCCCAGAGGCGTTCGAGCCGGGGTCATCCGGGCTCCGGTGGATCCCAGCTCGAACGCCGCCGGGGGGAGCAAGGGCCCCAAAACGAACCAAGAGCGCACCAAGGGGCCCCCGAGACGGTCAAGAAGGCCCCGAGTAGCCAAACCAGCGTTCGAACACGCCCAAGATGGTCCCAAGACTGCCCAAGAGACCCCCAGGAGGGCCCCTCGGCGCAAAAATTGGCCCGTTCCCTTCGTGAAACGTACATTTTTCACAAATTTGCCTTTTGGGCTTTCCGACGCTCCCAGACGGCCCTGGAGGCCTCCAATACAGCCCCAAGGTAGCCCAGAGGCGTTCGAGCCGGGGTCATCCGGGCTCCGGTGGATCCCAGCTCGAACGCCGCCGGGGGGAGCAAAGGGCCCGAAAACGAACCAAGAGCGCACCAAGGGGCCCCCGAGACGGTCAAGAAGGCCCCGAGTAGCCAAACCAGCGTTCGAACACGCCCAAGATGGTCCCAAGACTGCCCAAGAGACCCCCAGGAGGGCCCCTCGGCGCAAAAATTGGCCCGTTCCCTTCGTGAAACGTACATTTTTCACAAATTTGCCTTTTGGGCTTTCCGACGCTCCCAGACGGCCCTGGAGGCCTCCAATACAGCCCCAAGGTAGCCCAGAGGCGTTCGAGCCGGGGTCATCCGGGCTCCGGTGGATCCCAGCTCGAACGCCGCCGGGGGGAGCAAAGGGCCCCAAAACGAACCAAGAACGCACCAAGGGGCCCCCGAGACGGTCAAGAAGGCCCCGAGTAGCCAAACCAGCGTTCGAACACGCCGAAGATGGCCCCAAGACTGCCCAAGAGACCCCCAGGAGGGCCCCTCGGCGCAAAAATTGGCCCGTTCCCTTCGTGAAACGTACATTTTTCACAAATTTGCCTTTTGGGCTTTCCGACGCTCCCAGACGGCCCTGGAGGCCTCCAATACAGCCCCAAAGTAGCCCAGAGGCGTTCGAGCCGGGGTCATCCGCGCTCCGGTTGACCCCGGCTCGAACGCCGCCGGGGGGAGCAAAGGGCCCGAAAACGAACCAAGAACGCACCAAGGGGCCCCCGAGACGGTCAAGAAGGCCCCGAGTAGCCAAACCAGCGTTCGAACACGCCCAAGATGGCCACAAGACTGCCCTCCCCCTCGCCATCCTCCCCAACCTCACCCTCCTCATCCTCCTCAACCTGATCCTCGACCTCCTCATCCTCTTCAATCTCATCCTCCTCATCCTCCTCCTCCTCCCTCTGCTCCTCCTCCACCTCCGACTACTCCTCTTCCGTTCTTTTTTCCATGCGCTTTGCCATGCCTCTCAATCTTTTCTTCTGGCACTTGCCACTGCACTGTAACGCCTGGCAGCTACGAGCAGTGAAGGCGGAAACGCGGCGATAGCCGCCGGTACGAATCAAGGGGTCGGCGGATGTGGCGTGAGCCTGGAGAATCTTCTGACACCTCCGAGCCCCAGCTGGACATGAGCTCGCGGACTCTTTTGTTGGTGCCGCCATCATCGAGGTTCTGGGCTGGCTCGGAATCCTCCTCCATGCGGGCGTCTCCTTCACCATCACCAGCGCCATGGCCAGCAGGATGAGGGCCGTCACCGTGCGCCCCACGCTGGCCCCCATCGGGATCCGAGACCTGCTCCTTGCACCCCTTGAGCTTATCGAGGGATGCTTTGATGGCCTCTGCGTCTCCTTTGGCTGTGCCACCTCCCCCACCTGGCTCTCCAGGTGCCAGGAGCCTGCCGACGAGCTCGGAGAGCTTGGCCACCTCATCCCAAACTGCTGGAGGGGCCTGGGTCGGGGGTGGCTCCGCGCCGGCTGCTCCCACACGCTGGACCGCCGTTCGCCTGGCCTCCTCGAGCTCCTCCTGTGTTTCACGTATGGCCACGTGGGCCTCCATGCACTCCACAGCGGCCTCGCGAGCCGCCTCCTCGGCCCTGGAGACTCGCTGCGTGGCCTGGAGCACCTTGTTCTGGGCCTTGGCGACTTGAGGCGGCAGGTCCTTGTGCTGTCTGGGGTCCTGCATGCCCGCCGCTCTGAGCTTGCGGCGGTAGACCAGCTTGTCGCGCTGGCTCTGGGACAGGCAGGCAACGCCGATCTGGAACTCCTTGTCGCCCATGGCGAGCCAGAACTCCGTCTGCTGCTCGTCGAGCTGTGGCTGCGCCGCTGCTCCTCCTTGTCCCCCTCCATTATTATGGTAGTTCGCTTCCTTGCCGTAACCCTTGCCGTGCCCCTTGCCGAAGCCGCCCTGCCCGCTGAAATCTCGCCATGGCGCTCCTCGTAAGCGCTGCTGGCGATTCCACTGGCCCTGCAGCGGTGGCGGCGGTCGGTTTGAGGCTGGCACTGGCCCCTGTGGGTTGTATCCTCCGCAGTTGAAGCACCTCTGCTTATTACCACGGTTCCATGCATTGCACTGCCGACAGCCCCAGCCCACCATTGCGCGCGGTGTCTGGGGGACGGGTCCACTGAAAACTCTTGGGACGAAATGGTTGCGGGTGAGGTCGCGAACCTCTGGCCACGAGACTCGTGGGGACAAAAACCTGACACGCCTCAATCTCTCGAGCGAGGTTGGGAAGTCCAGGAGCAGGCCCCTTGAGCCAAAATGGCTACGGCCTCCTCCTCCTCCTCCTCCTCCTCCTCCTCCTCCTCCTCCTCCTCCTCCTCCTCCTCCTCCTCCCCCTCCCCCTCCCCCTCCTCTTCCTCCTCCCCCCTTGCACGCTTCCCTCGCAGTGAAGCCCGGGCAGTGAAGCCCGGGCAGTGAAGCCCCAGTGCACCCGCACCGACCCTGGCTCCCTGCCAAAGGTCCACTCCTCCGCGTGGCCGAACATGCACGCGGCGGGGACCACGTCGAGCGGCGCAGGGCCGGACCCCTGGGGCCCGGGGCCCCCTCCTGGCCTGAGGGGTGCGGATCGAGCGACTCGGGTGCCCGGGGCCGAGGAGCGGAGGAGGAGGAGGAGGAGGAGGAGGAGGAGGAGGATGAGGAGGAGGAGGAGGAGGAGGAGGAGGAGGAGGAGGAGGAGGAGGAGCTGATGGGGGACCCCAGCAGCGGGCCCCGGCTGGCAGGCGGACCGGCGGGCCCTGGCGGGCCGGCGGGCGGTCAAGAGAGGCGTGCGGGCACAGCCGGGGGGTCGGCTGGAAGGAAGGGGGCGGCGGAGGGGGAGGAGGGTGACGGGAGAGAGGGGGGCTCGAGGTGGGGAGTGGTGGACGAGGGCGCGCCAGCTAAAGCCATCCGGGGGCCCCAGTGCACCCGCCTCTCGTGTGGCCGAGCAGCACGCGGCGGGGACCACGTCGAGTGGGGCCCGGGGCCCCCTCAAGGCTCGAGGCGTGCGGAACGAGCGACTCGGGGCAAACTTCAACTGTCAGCTTGTAGCGCTCCTCGGCGAAAAAAAAGGGGATCCGACCAAGTACAGGCAGCATTGGAATATGGCAGCAGGCAGTGCAGAAAAGGAAGTGCAGCGACAGTTGGCGCAGGCTGAGGAGCCCGCGACGGCAATGCGTAACTAAGCTGACTGCCAACAGGAGGGAAGGAGGCGACAAAACCACAGTAGCCTTCATTCAGACAACCCGATATACAAGCACGGATGAGCAATTTAACGGGATGAACGAAACATGCATACAAGGACAGTCGGCAAGCGGCGCTTGGGGCGAACGGTGTGTCAGCGTGCCTGTACATGGTGAGGTGTAATCCTCTGGCCGCTGGGCGGTTAATGTACTGCAGTGGCCGTGGGCTGGCGCAGACGGTACTGGCTGGCCGACATGGCCCTTGATAGCACGATTGAACCGCAAGTGGGCAGACAGGTGATCCTCCTCGGGTGATTGTGATTGACAGAGCACGCCGCAGTGGGGAGTAAGCTCGCCCCTGCC